GAAGAGCACGTAAGAGCATGGGCCATTGAAGAAAACAACATCCAACCTGTAGTACGGGGTAACGGAAACGTTCCAAATCATGATATTATACGGGCCGAATGAGAATATGGAAAGGCAAGTGGTTAAATACACGATGCGAAGATCTACGGGGTGAACCACGCTCACAAAACACGCGACACCAAGAAGCACTAAACTGGCGGCCACCTCATCTCCAACAAACCATGCCACTCCGCCGCGTAGCGGCGGCGAACGGCTAGTCCTAAACTATCAATGCCAGCACGGTGTCCGTCCGTCCGTCACACGAAACGCTCATATTTTTGAGCCTTCCCATTGGCTGCCGAGCGGAGCGAAGGCGGCATCGATTGCCTAAAACTGAATTATGTAGCTTACCTCAGTAAATTCATGTGGTCCACAGAGCACATATGGAGATTGGCACCAGGCTATCCATAATGGATAATGGATTCCAGTTTCATCCCACCTCCAATAATGGCGTTTGACGAAGCGATGTTTCCGTGCACGTCTCCGTTCAACAAGATGAGAATCTTCATGAAGGACAAACCCCATCGCTGGGGCACAAAGTTTTTTATGCTGTGCTGTTCCAAGTCTGCGTACTGCATCAGGTAAGGATAAGAGCGTGCCTTCGCTGTCTGTAGTATTAAAACGATGGCAGCATCGTTTAAATACTACAAAGTTTTAATATGTACCATTTTAATATGGGATGTTGCTATTAATATTTGAGTGCTACTTATTCGCTTCCTATGTTGCAAGGTGCTTAGCGTACATGTGTGTTTTCGAGGCCATACTATTAATACACAAAATATATATTGTTCGTTATAGTTTCTGCAAGAAACAATAACTACAACTGTTTTGTTGTAGAAATATAAGGAACATATCTAAATGTGAGGTTACCGACTGGGCTGCCAAATAGTAGTGCATGTACAACAGAAGCTGGTCGTAAGAACTGGCCGTAAGAACAACGCTGCTAATAAACGTTGTCACTTGATCCATAAATATAGATAGTTTAGATTGAATAAAATGAACTCATATGTGTTACTGCTGTAAACCATTGTTTTCTAAGAGTTGTTTAGACAGCAAATCCGATACTACTTAGCTGGCGGACGTGTCGTCGACAGGGGCGTATGATACAATTTTAAATGGAGCGGCAAGACAATAACAAAACACGAGAGGTGTGAATTATAGCTGGTTAAGTAGACCCCATAAAGAAACCTTAATAAACTTGGAGCCTAAATGACGTCCAATAATCCGGGAATCATCGTTAAATTATCCATAGAAAACACTACCGTCAACAGCAACAGCAGCAAGGCGTCTTGCGACACAATTTCCAAGTGCTTCAATCATAACTGGCACAGATTCAAGTGCTAATTCTGAATCAGCACAAAATGAACGCCACATACATTAAAAATAGTAAAATTTGAATATTTTGTTTTAGCTTTCATTGAGTTTGATATGAGAAGTGAGCAATCTTTAGTTACGTACAAACTGAAATAGGCAGTGCAGGCAGGTGTTAATAAGTAGTGCAAGCTGGACAGGCCATTACTATCGTTTGCGCCAATGTGAGCTAAGTTTCATAGCGGTTCAGAAATGGCCCGTGATAGCGAGCACGACGCTAAACTAAACATATTGTGTAGCGTTTGTATAAATGTTATTTGAAGTGCAGGTGGTTATGGGTGGAAGATGAAGATACAGTGATAACTAACAATAATAAAGAGGTTGTAATAAGAATCTTGATTCATGATCATTAGAATAATTATTTTTAATGGTAAGCATTATGCTAACCCAGATTTCTTACTTAAAAATATCGGGGCGCATAGGGGGGGTAGCTTTTTGTAATACTTAACCCGCCGAAGCGTAGCGGAGGCGGGAAGGCCAAAACAAGTAGAACTAAACCTAAACTACCGCCGCGTAGCGGCGGCGCTCGGTTAGTATCATAGTAAGGCTAAACATACCCAAATGGAAGAACATTTAACCATGAACCCTTATTGGGCTCATAACCTGAAATGACACATGGCGCGTCACTGAACTGCTCTCCAAGTGTAGGTCGCTTCTTGCCATTAGAACAGACTTACGCCTAAAAAGCACTAGCAAATAGAGCCATCAAAAGAGGTACGTAAACACAGTACCGCAAAAGTCGCAATGATAGAGCACCCACAGTAACTTATAAATATTACATTTTGTGAGGGATTAGCGATACTTCATTGATAGTCCCATATTGAGAAACCTTAAAATGACTAATATCGTGTTCATTATCAGTGTGCTATCATTACGACTTTTGCGGTAAGTGCCGGGCAAAGTCCACGACAGGGCCGCAGTGGAGTTGTTAGAGAGGAAGCAAGCCTTACGCAAGCCAGTACGCCTCTCCGCAAATGTAACGGGGGTACGTAACCTCATATGTACCCCTGGTTACGTGAAGTGTGACACATTAACACTTCAGGATACCAGGGTCGTCGGGGGCCAACCATTGGCTGATGACATAACTGTACTATAGGTGACTTATAGCTTGTATATTTAACTCAAGCTTAGCCTATCTATAAATACATTCAGCTTACAGCTTACCTTAAACTGGTCACTTCCATCCCTTAAACAAAAGGGGCCTGTGAACTACTGTTCACTGGGAGTTTGTATACTCTCGGAAGCCGACTTCCTCTAGCGCAAGGTGCTGTGTGACCCCGTCACACTTGGTAGCACTTGTAGTCAATCCACGCCAACGCGGGTAGACTAGCTGAACCTCTCTGAAGCTCGTCGCCATGGATAGGAACAACTTCTCCCATCTGAACGACTCACAGTTCGAGTCGGTTAGGAAGATGGCTGGCATCTTTGGGATGGAGGCCCTGCAGAGCTTGGTGGCGTCAACACCGGCCGAGCAGCTCGAGCGTGTCAATGCGTCTGACGCTTACGAGCACGGGCTCATCGTACCTGTGCGGGAAAACCTGCAGGCTCCGGCGGTGGAGACAAACCCGCCACACCCGAAGCCACTACAGCTGAAGGTTAAGCCGTATGAAGGGAAGGAAGGTAAGAGCCTTCACTTCTGGGTTCAAGAGGTAGAGCTCGCGATGAACGTGGCTGTGGTGTAAGGATTTCCAGATTCGACCATACGTCAGCCTACTTTAGATCAAGAATCGGCTCGGTCTGATAACCCAGAGCTTAGGAACAAAGGCTGACGGTAAGTACTCAGCGGTCTGTCCGGATGATGCTATCCGGATAGCCGCTGAGCTCAACGGTCAGTGGAAGAGTCGGTAGGAGATCCGAAAAAACGACTACATTTCACTAGATATTTGTATGAGAAGCATAGGATTAAATAGGGGGAGCCGAAAAGGCTCCCAGAAGATAACGGAGCAGAATTTTCCTAGTCCAAGACACGTGTACACTTTTCCGGTAAGTCCCTGCATAGGGCTGGATTATGCCTGCCGTCAATACTCGAGAGGCATAGCTTGTAGGGTATTGACTGGTAGCGCCAAGAGATTAGGTCGGCCCGGGTAGGACAAAGTCTCGCTACGCGCGAAAGAAAGCCCCGCACACTCAGCGGGCCGGTACGGCGGATAGCTCGGGTGCCGTAATACTTCTAGCTGAGCAGCCTCTGCGCTCGGTGACCTGTAAAAGCGCTCGCGCGCCGTCGTTCATCCTTTGATGGAGGGCACAGGGTTGTGAACGAGCTCTGCCGAACCAAATTCGGCGGAGCCTCGGAGGTGCTCTGACTTGGTTAGTCGGAACCGAGTGGAAGCGAGCCACACGTCTGTCCCGGAAGGGCCAAACCGCGAGGGGACCACCCTCTGCGCAGGCCATACAACCGCCGACCTAACTCGGCGATTTGTTGTGGTTTGTGTAAGGAATACACATCTGACGATATTTGTGTGTTCTACTACACCACAACTGGTGCCTCGACCCGGGAACAGGAGTGTGGGCTTGTTTTTTTAGGAACCATCTAACCAAGTTAAGAGGAAGAGAAGATAAAGAGAAGAGTGAAGATGGTCAAGGGATCAGCTTCAGTTCAGTGTTAGTACGTTCATGTCCGCGTCAAGAGGTACCCACTTGCCTAGCGCTTTCTTACTCGGCAGCTTCGTCTTGTCACCACGCATGCTGATTGCGGGTACCAACGCCCTACCGTTCTTCACAGTCGTCACGGTCGCAGCCAACAGCACTACACCGCACTTGGCTAATCGCCTTCTGCCTGCGCTTTACATTAACGAACCGAGGCGGTTTTGGCAGGGATCCGACGGCGGATCATCATGATCACACTCATCCGGCGGAGATTCGGCTACGATCGGCTGGATATGAATGTGTCGATAGGGATAGGAGCTTAACCGCAAGCGGAGCTTGGCTGATC